GGGGCGGGGGGGGGGTTGAGCACCCACTGGCGCCAGCAGAAGTCGGCATCTATGGTACTGGTTCAGCTGAAGCAGAATTAGCAATAGCGGGAGCCCAAATGTACAATGCTCTAGCTGCAGCAGCAGTTTTCCCATATCTTGTTGCTTAAAATTTGTGGTTAAAGTCCAGCCTACATCCAACTTACTGCCAACTGGACAACTGTTTATTGACCTGGATGAAGTGAATTAGTAGTCTACTTAGTGTATGCATGTCTCATCCACAGCAGCCCCACACCTCAGTAGAGATGGGAAGAATTGAATAGACATGGAACATGAACTGCTCACTCCCCGGAGGTGGTGCCCTCTAGAATACAGGAGGCACATGATGCTGACAGCATGGGAAAACTTGCACTGCAGCTACATCTGTTGTACCAGTTGTGTGACTAAGCAGATGCATTTCCAGCTGAGCACTGGGCCCCTTTTAAGAGGATAAAAAGAAATGTCGAACTTTCAAAATGTTTTTTCACTTCCTACTGTAAAGAAGTCTTAGTTGCAGACACAAGAAGTGCTAGCGTAAATAAACATCACTAATTCAAATTGGGTAAATGAATAAATATGATATGCAAAGAAAAATGACGCCTTTCTTTGAGAACTAAAATATACTTTAGTAAATGCAAAGACAATCTTTTGTTCCATAACTTTTTAATAAACAAGTTCATTTGATCATAGGGATGGTAGTTTTTAACTATTTCTGAAGATGCATAAAAATTACCATTAATAGACAATTTGTGTGTGTCCCAAACGTTTTAGAGTAGAACACTTACCGCTCCATGACTCTTGAGATAAAGTCATTGCAGCAGTTTAGAGTTACATCTTGAGGATTTGTATGAAGACTGCATCTGATTTGTCTGGAGCTCAAGACATCAACTACCACTGAATAGGAAAAAATATGGACATTTCAAAATTGTGTGTGTTTACAAAAGTCTAGCAATATTATTTATAACCCCTGAATATTTCCCTTTGATCCAAGTATGGAAATTAAGACATGTAACATTAAATATTAATGGTTATATTTACCATAATAAACATAATGTGCTTATATAGCTCAATTACTATTGCTGTAGGAACTATAAGGCCCCATCCCACTGATTTCAGTGGGGCTCTATGGGCGTATGGCAGTCTCAGTATACCCGTGTTCAATGCATTGTAGAACCAGGGCCTTAATTCTTTTACATTTCCTGACTTTGTTTTGAACTGGCAACCTTAAAGCATTTCCTGTTTATTTATATACATAAACACGCAGAAGAGTAAAGTTTAGGAAAATTGAGATTCACAGTACAATTGAAACCCATGTCCTGATAGAACAAATATATTTATAAACGTGATTATATATATATATATATATATATATATATATA